AGTGAGCTATTTGCACCTCTGATTGGCCTCCCAAGTAGAATCAACGTCCATTCGCACCATTGGGGTCGATGGGGTCGCTTTGTGATTTTGGGAAGAGGGATGGCATGTTAGAGTTGGGAAAGGTCAAATACCATTTTAGGAAAAGTGTGAACGGGGATTGTGTTGACGGGATTTGACGGGTTTTCAATAAGTTTGGCGTAAGTTCCAGGAAAGTAGGGTAAAGTGGACAATATTGGGATTTGCCGTTCCATGGTCGCAAAAAACGAACTGAATGCGTCGGTTGACCCTGCTCTCACTGGATCCCTGACGACCATGAAACCGAATGCCTTCAAGCGTTCGCAGACTCGACTACTTAAACTTTGTTTCCAGCGAAAACAAAAACAACAAAACACTAACAAACAAAAACTTGGATTACTTATTTCATAACATTATTTCATCTGCCCTCTCGATCGATGCGATCAATAAATGTCGATCGATAAATAAACTCACAACGTAATGTTCTGTATACTAATCCCTAATCGAAAACCTATTCCTTCAGAACCTGGCAGTCCGCCAAGGGATGTCAACGTGATTGTGGATCCTGACAACAGAGTTACAGTTACATGGGAACCGCCTAAGCATCCTAATGGCGACATTACGGTAGGAAAGACTTTGTCAAGGTCCACCATAGTATGGGCAAGACGCTCTTGATTCCAGAGTTACAATGTGTACCTGAGCGGTGATCCGTCACAACCTGTCGATCAATGGCAGAGGTTCGAAGTGAAGGATCCGAGCCAGCTGAAACTCATTTTCGAACGTGGAGAACTGGAACCAGAAAGTCCTTACTACGTACGAATTGCCGCCGTAAACCCATCCGGAGAAGGAGTGCATTCCGACGCCACGCACTTCACTACAGTCAGTGGAGGTGGGTACCTAGGCCTTTTTCAAGCATCTCAGAATCGAAGGCGATGAAAATGGCCAATGGCTCCTTCACTCCTTACATTTTTCCCACTTCAGCGCCGATCGATGCCCCGTCTGATATCTTACCGATTGTTTCCGATGACAACACGGTCAATATCAGCTGGTTTGGACCGAAAGAACCTAATGGACCGATTAAGGTATTATACTTGAGGAGCTTCAGGCTTCAGTACTGGTAAGATGCAGGGGAGTACTGTAATTTCAGGCATACACCATCTACTTCACTCCCGATGACGGTACCGCTGACGAAGACTACAGGAACTGGGCTCGTATTGAAGTTCCAACAAGCGATGATCACGGCAACGTCATCATAGACAAAGACCAGTACGACATCAAGCCTAATACTCCATATAAGGTGAGTTCTCATCAAGTGGTCCGACTCTGCGGTTATCTGTCGGCTTTCTCACGTCTAGGAATTTCGCAAAGGTAATCTCGACCTTTTGAAAGGTAAAACAAAAGTTTAGGTACGAATTTCGGCCACAAATGATCAGTCTGAAGGTCCGGCATCTGAACCAACACTTTTCGAAACTGGCAGTGGAGGTATGTGCCAGCAAATTGGTCCAATGATGTTGTACATTTGAAATCGCTTCCAGAAATGCCCACCTACAATCACATTGGATCCACCGAAGAACGTTGTTTCTGTGGAGCCAAAAGGATCGGTCAACATTATCTGCACAGCCACCGGACTA